CTAAATGTGATATCTTGATGTAGGTATGGTAAGGCAAATCCATCTGGCAATAGGCAATGAGAACACCATCCAAAGTGTAAAGCGTGGGAAGTGATAACAAATTGAATAGGGGAAATGTCATTTGAAGGAATCGATCTTGTGGATAACATTCATCATGTGCAAATGAAATATCGCTTCTATTTGGTTTAGATAAAAATAAAATTTTTAGTAGATTATGATAAAAATTGATGGGATGTGTGGTTGAAAAATTGTGAGACACATAAAATGTGTGGTTAAAATTAATTTTTGACTTTGACTTGGATTAATATCTACTTTTGTAGTTGAACCAAACAGGGGCATAATCTTAAGATTAAAGTAATGATAAAGAACATCAACCAGAGGTGATTGAAAAGAGAAATTGAAGAGGAAAGCAGGAGGATTTGGTCTGAGTACTTTATTGGAAGGAAGAATAAAGCCACTTATACAATATTTATGCACGACCTGGTTGACAACAAGTGTGTAGAAAAAATCCTCACCATTGATTTTAAAAACTATTTTTCAAATAAATGGATGTGATGTTTGCCAACTCATGAATTGTAAACCAAGTAAAATAAATTGTACAAGTAGCATGATTGTTAGAAGGAAACATTATTCTACGCAACGTGTTTTGTTTTGGCAGCTATTGTTACTGCAGTCGAGAATGTCCTGAAAATGTAATGGCAAAGTTCTAAAACTGATTTCTTGACTCTACAGATGCTATTCAATGGTTTCCCTGAGAAGTGTGACGCTTTAAAGAAGTTGAGAATGGGTGTGATGGAAAGGGTCTCTTCAGCAAGGTGGGCAAATGAGTGGGAGGAAAATGCCAAGCCCCTAATATCTAAGGCAAGCCAACAATCCTTATTCTGGAATTTTCGATTACTCTCTTCTACATTTTCTGTTATTAAGTTTTCCAATGAAAAATATTCAACCTTTAAGATCCCTCTGCCGTTGCATTTAATCCTATTCTAGATCGCTGAATCAGATATAATATGCACTGTTTCAGGTTATTTCTGAGAACTTCAGCTGAAGGTGCAGGATGATAACACCAAAATTTACGAGTTTGAAATTTGCTCTCAATGGAGAAGTCTCACTGTGTTAGCACTGACTTTTAATGTATAATTTGATGGCAACCGTCACATCATAAGTTGGTTTATATCGACAATGTGCACAATAGAATTATTATAATAAAAGGAAAAGGAGAAACTTAAATTCTTTATGTTTATTTCAATCCTACCCGGTATTACGACTCGGGTAAAGAAAGTGTAGTTTATGAAAAAAAGCCAAAAGCAAGGCATAAGAAGATGCTCAAGTTGAAATGAGATATTACAACATATATGATGACATTATAGTAGGGCCCTCTTTGATTTATCTCGACTCAATCCTACTACTCTGGCAGGATTTCCAACTGCTGTTGCACCTGCTGGAATTTCTTTTAAAACAATTGATCCTGCTCCAATTTTTGCATTTTCTCCAATTTTAATGTTGCCCAATATTTTAGCCCCTGTACCTATGAGAACCTCATCTCCAATCTTGGGGTGCCTATCCCCTTGTACCTTCCCTGTACCTCCTAATGTCACATCATGTAAAATTGTAACTCTATTTCCAATAACTGCTGTTTCTCCAATCACAATTCCAGTGGCGTGATCAATTACGATGCCATGTCCAATTTTTGCTCCTGGATGAATATCCACTGCGAAAACTTCTGAAACTTGATTTTGAATGAGGATCGCTAATGCAATTCTACCATTTATCCAAAGTTTATGTGCTACTCTGTGGGCTTGCAATGCTAAGTATCCCTTGAAACTCAAGAAGCAATGAACGTAACTTATGCAGGCAGGGTCGCGCTCTCTCACTGCTTTGAGGTCGTCTACGATAGCACGCTGGATATTGCCATCTTCTACCAGTGCTTTCAAGAAAATGTCGTAAAGGGCTTCTCTTGATAGATTCACTCTGCATAATTTGATAGCTAATTGATTTGCTAATGCAGTCTCTAGTGACTTATGAGAGAGTATAGATGAACAATAGTACTTTGACAGGATGGGCTCTTGCTTTGTGTAAAATTTAGCCTCTTCTTGCATTGTTTGCCATATATCATCTTCACTACATTCTTGAGGAATGACTTTAGACGAATCTTTGAAACCATATTGACACATGGAATTGGATGAATCAATTCGTCGAAAACTTAGTTTGCACATTTTCATGTATCTGCAGAAGTTACTTATCTGGCATCTGCAGTGTGAATCTGCCTTGAAATTTCTCCCATGGTTGGTAGAATTATCAATACTTGCTGCCATTTCTTTCCAGACACAAAGAAAACAAGATTTATCACAGAGGAAAAAATAATTATTCTAACTTGTTTGAGCTTTCATAGCATTGAGGATGAGCCCCTCTTATATAGGACTGGAGCTGGAGAAAAAATTAATCAATCGAAATCAGAATGAAATTTAAGGGTAAATTCATACTTGGTGAATATTAGTCAAATCCTTTCCATAAAATAAGCTTGACAGGTTTCCTGAAAGGACCAGTAATGTATATTCGATGACTTGCAGACTAAAATGAAATTCCAAGAAATTGCCCGAAGTCATCTCTCTATATAATACGAATTTAAAAAATAATATAAACAAAAATTTAACTTATTTTCTGTATTTTGCGTACGCAATATGCATCGCATTTAGAATGAAGAAGGTAATTAGAACAAGAACTCCTGAATAACGTCTTGCGTGACGCTTTCTCTGGGGACAAAAACAATCGAAGAACTGTCCAAGAATCTGCACTCTGGCACTTTCCTTCGAGAAGTTTCCGTTTGATTCAAAAGTCAGTAAACTTCAGCTTCCATTGACCTCTGGAGAGTCCTCACATGGGATGGCACATGCGCGTACAGCGGTGCCGTGGGGTAATCGTTGAATTGAGCTAAGATGGTCCAAATCTATTTTTACGTCCCAAAAAAAAAAAAAAAAAAAAAAAATTTTTTTTTTTGTGCCCCCCCCCCCCCCCAAAAAAAAAAAAAAAAAAAAAAAAATTATTTTTTTTGGTCCAAATCTATTTTTACGTCCCATCATTTCTCTCTCTAATATTCAAACTTGCACCACAAGTAAATTAGCCTCCAAATTATTTTATATATTTTATTTATTCAAGTGGGGCTCAGTTGTGATTTTAAGCCCTTATTTGACCCCATTTTTCAGTAATGAAAATGGGAGGAATAGTATTTTTTTTGAAAAATGAGAGGTTGAAAAAGAAGGAAAAATTTTCGATTTACGTGTAATATTATTTTATAGAAGATTGTGTGATTGAAAATATGAGATAGAAAAATAGAATGTAATTTAATGGGGGCTAAATAAATGCGATTGCGAACTGACATTTCGTATACTGATTATTAATTAATTTTTTTTGTCAGAATTTTTTTGACATAATGGTTGACGTTCTCTCACAATCAGGCCCGGTACTGGGCCGAGGCGAATGAGGCCTCCGCCTCAGGCCCAAGATCTTAGGGGGCCTCATTTTCGCCCCCACTTTTTTTTTTTTTTTTAATCCATCCGGCCCAAATGAAATGCCCAATCCAATAACTAAACCCATCCCAACCCAACAATACATAAATCCCAACCCATCAATCCATTTATCCAAATCAAATCCAATCCAATCCCTAAATTCCCAAAATAATTCATATGAAAATTCAAGAACCGCCTCCGACTTTCACGACTGTGAAGGCGTGAAGCCACCGTGACTCCCCTCTCAACATTGACACAGTTCGGGCGTCCGGTGAGTGACGGCGACGGTGACGGTGAGACGGTGAGTTCACCACGAATCTTATCTTCCTTGGCCCTTCTTCTGGCGTCTGCTTCTGCTGAGTGCTGGCTGTGCTGTCGCCTGTCGACTGCCGAGTCACCTAACTGTCTTTCGATCGGAACAATATCGATGGCATAACTGGATTTAGTAAAGACGATTCGGAATCAGTTTCCAGCTTCATGACGTATGCAGTTGGTTTGGCAAAATCTGGTGTTAGCTCGGTAACTACCTAATGCTTTCTGGATGTCTTTGCATCATTAAATACATTCTACTTTGGTGCCGTATTTGAAATGAATTTATCTCCTTTTCACATTTATTGCTTGAAATTCCATTAGAGTTGTAATTTACTAGTTTCCAGATAAATTATTTAGACATGTCGAAATGGAAAAGGTATGAAATTATAAATCTGAGTGAATCTGTGAATGATAAATGAAGTGAAATTATCTTCTGTATGCCGCATTATCATTGTGCCTTTGTGAGAAATGAGATGAAATCCTACTAGATTGGCCTTGTAGGCTTCTATGATCCTAGGTAAAAGAGAGAACTTCACTTGTAATTTTTCAATGTGTTTATTCAAAGATCTACGTGAAAGGGCCATTAAAAGGGCTTAGCAGTGCAGCTTAAACTGTTTAAGATATTCTGCTAGAGCGTGCTGGCTGATTTTGCACGCATATATATACATTCTGGTTATAGATATTGAGTGACCTATTGTCCATCCTATGCCTTTTTCTTTGCTTTTTATCTTCGAAGATACTTGTACTTAGGATTGGTTGTTGGTCTTTTATAAACTCACTTTTTCAGGTCGTGAATGCTGCTGTCATTGTGGATCCTTCAACTATGCAGGTCATAGTAAGCTCCCATGACTAAGTCCTATCTTGTAATACTTCCATAAAAGAAAGCAGCATGCAACTTTCCAGAAGCAGCTCAATTTAATTTCATCAAAGCCAAAAATTGTCAGTCATTTCTTTCAAGATGTTCATGTTCATCCAAGGACACAAAGCATTCTTACAAGTGTTTCTTGTTTACGTCCATGGAGCTGGTTTGAACATGAATTACATACGTGTTCTGGTTCTTGGCATCCTTTACAACATGTTGTGATTGTAGCAATTGAAAATTCTGCCGTGAGGGATAGGCATCTTTTTCTGGGGAATGGACACAGTGCGGAAGAATATGTACAAGACGACTATAAGGTGTCCTTTCCAACAAGTTCTCTTTTGAAAAGACAAAAGATTAACCTTGCAAATGTAACTTTGCATTATAAAATGTTATATGTCAGAGATAACTTGTTAATATATCTGGAGGGCTTAGTATGAGACGGTCATGTTTTTTTTTCAAATAATCAAAACTTTCATAATTGCAATTGCATTATATTTTACCGTGGCAAAATTTTATTCCATTGTTTTTCTTCATTTACTAAATTTGACAACAATGTTTGTATCTTTTAGGTAAAAGATGATGGGAATATGATCTGTTTTGCAATAAACTAAATCGATGGAGTGCTCTTTCTTGTGATGTTAGGTAACTTAGGTTGCCAATAATTAACCTCAGGGTCTTCCTAAATTCTGGCCAGCTTACTTGGAAGACCTTATTTCTTTATCCTCTGCTCATAATCACTAATGAGTCAAGTTTTAGTTGAAGTAGCCCCACATATTTTTTCGATAGCTAAAATGTTGATTAGAGAAGTAAATTTTCTTGATATATGGATCAATTATTTTGTAATAGTTTAACTAGTTATTTTGGAATAGTAGTCTATATTTTGGCATATTGTATTCGACCAGACTCAAGACTTTTTTTCATTGAATTTATGGAAAAGATGATTATATATGTGTTGATATATGATTTTGTAAACGCATAATTCGAAGAAAAAAACAATTTGATGAAAGCGGTAGTAATGAGGTAAAGCAATCAGCAGAAGAATCTTTTAGAGTTGAGTACTTTATTTTTATAATTGATCAAGCTCTATCTTCTCTGAGGACCCGATTTGAACAATTTAAACAATATGATGATACATTTGGATTTTTGTTTAGTTTGAAGAGGTTAAGAGGTGCAACTTTTTCAAGTTTATTGAACTCTTGCTTGAATCTTGAGAAATATCTTCAACATAATGGGCGTTCGGATATCAGTGGGGATGATTTATGTTCGAAGTTACAAGTCTTGAGGTGTTACATATCAAGTGAAGCAACAAGAGTAATTGAAGTGCTACAATATTTGAAGACATTGGATGTTTGTTTTCCAAATGCTTATATTGCTTACCAAATTTTGTTAACCATACCGGTTACAGTTGCATCTGCAGAAAGAAGTTTCTCGAAATTAAAGTTGATCAAAACCTATCTCCGATCAACTATGTCGCAAGAAAGATTAAATGGGTTGGCTATGCTATCAATAGAAAAAGAAATGGTTGAGCAGCTAAATTATTCAGATTTGATTGATGTTTTTGCCTCTAAAACAGCAAGGAGAATAGTATTTAACTAATTGTTTGAAATTTTTGGTCTGATGGTTTATAATATAAATCGTTTTTATAATATATTTCGTTGTTGTTTTAATGTTAGTTTTTTAAGTTAGCAATGAGTCGCATAATACACCTTTGAATTTTGTCGTTGGGGGGCCTACTTTTCATATTTCGCCTCAGGGCCCATTAGATACAGGACCGGCTCTGCTCACAATACGTGGGCCTCGTGTGAATAAAAAAGTACAGAAAATAAGTGAGCCCCGCCAATATGAACGTCGATCATCCATTATGCCAAAAATTCATGCCACCATAGCATTGTTGATTTATTATACAGCTCGAATTTGCAAATTTTTATTGTTTAGAATTTATTCACATGACTAGATGATAAGGCCCAACTCGTAGCTACTCAAATAGTAATTTCTCTAATATATCAAATTCATTCATTTGAATAATTTGGTCACAGCAATCTCGTTTGTATCCACTCCAGGTAGAACTTAATACACTGCTCGCTCCTACAAATCTTTCTCGAGGTGTCACGCCTAGAGCCAATATATTTTTCAAAAAAATGTTATTGGTAGAATCGAAAACAATGATTCGTTTTCGAATTTGGTTCCAGTAATTATATGGACCCAAATAGTTTTATTTACATTTCCTTTGTTAAAATACCTATAACGATCCACCCGACATCAAAGTTCACTTTATGAATATCTACTTAGTGAGTTCATAACTTTTCATCTCAATAACTAGGGTGTCAAACGGGCGCTTTGAGTGCTTTCCAAGAGGCGAACAATGGTAGAACCATCCTTTCTTCCTCACTAATCTCCCCAAGATCGTAGATCGCACAAATCATAATTCTTCATTCCAAAAACGACCACATAGGATTGGTGGTCTCAGAATCAGCTATTGAGCGATTAAAAACAAAGATAACAGAAAATAAAGATAAACACAGGGGGATTTTTCTCCACGAAGGCTCGGATGTTCAGCTTGAAAAAGCCTACTCAATTGTTGAGCATCTACACTTAGATATTACTCAATTCCACTAAGAAATTTCTCAAAAACAGTACAGATGTCTGAAGAGAGCACAAGTCTTTTCAATTTTCTCTCGCCTCTCTCTCAAAAATTACAGATATGAACTAACAATCTATTCCCTTCAAGATTTCTTACACTACAATCTCACAATCTACACTCAGAGATTTTCAGAGAAGAAACACATGAAGTATACAGAATGAGAGAAAAACCCTCAAGAATATACGAACCCTAAAAGGTTCAAGGGACGACTAACAACTCAAGCATCGTGAAGAGAGAGAGAGAGAGCCAGCTACATATACACCATCAAAAACACATTGATCCAATGGTTGAGGCTAAGACAAATGAACGGTCCAAATTAATAGCAACCAAAAAATCATAATCGTGTTATTTAGAAAACATGTTTTATCTTGGGTCTTAAGAACCGGGTTAGCTTAAGGCCCAAAAGAAATCAGCCCATCAACATACGCTGGAACCCAATTAATAGTGAAGCACTAGTCCATGTCCAACAAAGATTTTTTTATTTTTTATTTTCATGCCTATTAACGTAGCTAGTGAAGTTGATCATGGAAAAAAAACAAGTAGATGTCGAAAATCTAAAATTTCATTGCAACATAAACATAGATTTAATTAGGGCAACATACACACAAAATTCCATCAGAACTCAAAACAAACCATGCAAACCCTAGCATAACATTTTACGTGCAAGCTACAGATGATACTGCAAGTGGATACTCAAAAGTATTAGCATACTGAAAAGAAAGACAATCTCCAGGATTCATCGGCTCCCCATCATTCACAAGGCAATCATCGTATCCAATACGACGAAACACGTTCGGATTAACCAACCTTGCTGAGCTGAACCATCCACAGGTGAGATGAATATTAGAAATGCTACAACTTCCTGAGGTACAAGCATTCTGGATATCGACTGTGTACGTCGGAATTCCATTAGGTAATGGTGTCGTTTGACCCTGGAATACGAGTATGTTGTCCTTCGAACATATCGACCCAAAGCGGTTCATGTAGCCATCATCGTCATCTGGTGCAAAACATATAAATTTTAATGTTTTATTCTCCGTTTCAAAAAGAAAGTTTGATTAAATTTTACCAGGTAAGCCCAATAGTTTCCTAGATTTGACTGTATAGTTTCCCTTGGAAAATGCTGAATCTTGAATGCCACCTTCGTTCACTGGCTCCAATGCACCATAAGTACTATTAACTGCATCTTGAAATACCATCAAATGAATATTACTCTGTTATTGTAAATTGAGCCAAAAATTACCCAAAAAAAAATAAAAATTAAAAACTAGTTTATCACAAACAATACGACCAAACATGCATTGAGATATTTCAATCTTTTCTCAGTTCTCCTTTAAATTTCAGTCTATGAAGAAAATACATTGTTATATATAGCCAAGCAAAAGACCCAAGTTCAAATTTAGCACCTCCTACTTATGAAAATTGTCTATTAGTTAAAAAAAAAAAAAAAAAAAGTCTTCACGTGAGAGGAAAGGAACCTCGAAGACAAGATTTAAGATTCTAGATAAATAAATCTCTGCAATGAACTGGGGAAAGATACATTTCAAAAAGGTAGAAGATAAACAGAAAGTTTCCGAGAAGTTCTCTTTTTCTCAATCATGTAATTTTTTGGATTAAACATGCCAATTCCTGCAGAATATTCCTTTCTACTTCACATAAAGAGAAAGCGAAGGAGAGATATACCGAAGAAAACAATTATAATCACGGAAGCAAAACCCTGAACCAAGCAAACATTGCAAAGGCTAAGCTCACGAATCAGACTTTTCATTTCTTAACCAAACTGCATATAAAAATGATAAAAAATCATAGTCAGAATGCATTTGTACATAGATATATTTGAAATTGACATAATTTAAGAAAAGCAACGTTTGTTTAGCTTAAAATGAATTTGTTTGTATGTCAAGAAAATGAAGAGTTGATTTTGAAGGTGTTTAAAGTGCCTGGAAATTGTGTCAGTAGCTTTCAGTGTGATGACAAGCCGACTCTATATGTAAATGTAAAGAAATCTAAAGAAGATAGTGAGTGAATCTGGCTTGGAGGTTCAAGCAATTTATAGCACAAAGGAACTCGAATCCAAAATTTAAAGAGTGACGCTAAACCTTTTTTGCAAAATTGCACTGTGGGTCCCTACCTATTTTATAGTATGCTGGTCCCCAGCATTATTTTTTTATTTTTTTTATTTTTGTTATATTATTCATCTTTGATCAATTGTTTCCGAAAGTGTACGAATCATGCAAGGAATAAAGTGAATTTTTCAAGTTCGAATTATTTTTCCCACAAAAACTAAATACTTAAACTCTTATTATTCTAATATAGCTTTAATCTAAATTAATGTAATAAAAATTATCATATCATGAGTTTATTTTCTAACTAATCTAAGTTATGGAGAACTATTGGAATTAAGCGGTTAGGAATTTCGATTTCACTTAGGTTTAACATTCATCCATTCTAATATTATTCACATATTTTTCATAATAAAGTGTATTTTTTAATTTTTTTTTATGTTTTCCAACAAACTCTTTATCTTTTGCTCTTTATTGTACTTTTCAGCAATCATTTATTTATTTTTGTCTTTTTTAATTAATATGTATTTTTGGATGTCAATTAGCAGAATATTTCATATAATATGAATAAATTAAATAGTAAAGCATGGAAACTTACATTAATTTTATTAAATACAACTAAGGACAATTTAAATGCATGTGGAGATTCAAATTAATTCACTCTCTCCTTTAAAAAGTTAAAATAAAAACTTAAGTATAATTTCACTTGTAATCAATAAAACTTAGATCGTGATATCATTCATCCTTTCTACCTCATTAATAAACCTAAATATTATACACCTAGGAGAGGTGATTAAAATCTGTAATGCATCCATTGCTACAATAATGGAGAGTTAATAATTTAACTCGAGTTACGCAACAGCCGCCATGTCAAAAGGCTGAAGAAATTGAAGCCTTTTTAAATACTATTTGATAAGAACAGAACTCAATCGCCAGTGTATAATTGCTTCATGCATTTATTCGTCACCCACAGAATTACATTGTGTTTCATAGTTGTAAGATTTCTAGTTCATAAATCAAGAGGGAGTTTTATATAATTTGCCTCAAAATTTATATATACACAGTACTTCATGAACCGAACTTTCAACCCGGGAATGAGTGAATGATTGATGAAACCGAAGAGATAAGCAAGAAAAAGCTGAAAGCCGAATTGAATGTAAAAGGGGATTAGGTCAAACCATCTTAAAAACGAGTAGAAGGATTTCAGCGATCGAGTCTGTCTTTTCTGTATTGTGAAGTGTGAAGGCATGCAATTCAATTTGACACTGGAAAACATTCCCGGTGCCACTCAATTAATACTCACTGAAAGGTAGTTGGCATTTATGCTCCTCGTATGGATACCCTCAAATTACTCCACAAACTATGTACTATGCATTGGGTACGTGATCGGGTTAGGGGTTTGAGTGTCTACACCACTGTATCAATTACGCCTATTATAGTGACCCAACTTAGGAATTAGATTCAACTTTAGCCTACTGAGATTGCAACCTCAGTCTAAATAGCGTTAATGTGACATTCAATGATAGGTGGAATTTGTTGACCTTCGAAATTAGTCAACGGGTGTCGTTAGAAGATAGCGTACGCGTTGACGTATTCTTACAGTAAATTTGTTGTAAATACGTACATTTGTAGAAGAAGAAAGGAAATGAATAAGAGATCCAATAGCTTGAAATGTATGGAATAGTGTTTATTTTCTCCTCCAAAATGTGCGAAAAATTAATATACCCGTTCCCAATTCTTTTTCTCGAGTTTTCTCTCATTTCTCTCTTTCTATATATGTGTTGTTTCTATTGTTCCATACATATTTTCCTTTTTTCAATCTCCTTTTTTTTTTCTTTCCAATCGGAAGGTATATATAGAGTTTAGGGAAGAGGTGGTGGCCGTTGGATCCAAACCACGTGTCCTTACCTACTTCTATAATCACGTATTTCGTACACATGAATTTATTATATTGACAAATGGTCAACTGCCATATATTTCTATGCTGATATTCCTGACATAAGATAAAGTAGATGTCTAATTAGTCTTTCACAAAGATATTCGTCAGGTCGGAAAATGTGGCAGCCTCCTCGTCTCTTAGGACTTCTGCCTTGTCTTTCAGAACTTCTAGGTCGGCACATGTGGCGGCCTCTTCATCTCTTAGGACTTCAGACAAGCCTTTCAGAACTTCGTCAGGTCGTGAACATGAGGGCTTCGGCCTAAACCCTTTGTCAGGGCTTCGATATGTATCTGGTTAAGTGACACTTCGGCCAAAACAAAGACTTTGGCTTTTGTAGTCTTCGTAACATTGTTGCTTCGTCTTTTCATATGTTTAGGCTGACTCTTTCGATGATGTCAGTGGACTTTCACGTGTTGCTTCTTGTGGCTAACTTAATACGAAGAGTAACGTCAGTCTCCCAAGTCTGCTTGTTAAATATTGATATGAGAGTTTAGACTAGTAAAAAATATGCAACAACAGCCATCGAAACTGAGGTCAAGGCTCATATGCCTTGTACAAATAAATGCCTCAAAGTATGTTCATGAAAAACCGAAGTCATAAATGTCGAAGTCATGAATTGTAAAAACCAAGGTGGTTCGTACCGTCATCGAAATGGCTCGAATTTCGACTAAAGTGATATATCATGTGAGACGATTTTGAAAGTTTGAACGTCTTTTGTAATTTATTGTCATAGATTGTTATGCTGTCGTTTGACCTTCTCAAAGAGGACAGTGTTTCTTATTTTCAATGCGTGCTTATTAAACATGTGTTTTAATCTGAACTGTGGAAGTTGAAATAGCAAATGCAACGAATGGTCCATATGTGACCTAAATTTGGACGGTTCAGATATTTGGGATCTGATGGTTGAAAATGTATGTGTTCGCCTATAAAAAAGCTCATTTGCTTGGATGCTGATTTGTTTGCATAAGCCATGTTGACCTATGGGTGTCTATGATATGATCGAAAAATACATTTGCATTTGGTGGATTTCGATGAGAATTGGTGCGAGGTACTGCTTGGTTTCGGACGATGCCATGGAATGTGCAAATTGGATAATTTCTTAGTATAATGCATTGGATGTTTGGACCCGTGAAAATGAAAATGCAACCTCAACACAATCTTCTTTGAACACTCTAAAAGTAGTGCCGAAGTGGGACGGATTGTCCATTACTTCAAATAAATTATGTTGTAATAGGATGCGACTTCCACTTGAAGCGCCCTAAGTGGCATTATGTGGATCTTCAGGACTCGAAATCGATGTACCTCCCCTAAGAAGTTAAGCAACTCCTCTATCGGAGCGTACTAGACATAGTGTATTTTAGCCATAGCTTTAGTTTGAACATGGTCTGGCAGAACTCGTAATTGTGAAAATTATTGTATATGGTAGACATTCCTCAAAAGGGAGAGGTCCAGCAAATTATGTATCTGATGTAGTAGTTGCACTTTGTGTGTGTGTGTGTGTGTTTTTTTTTTTACTTATTTTGTGAAGTGCTTTGCAATGTTTTGTAAATGGTGGATTGCCCTCAATTGTAAATATATTTAAATAGAATTTACTTTTTCGTGCAAATTTTGTGTTATAACTAAGCTTGGTTTGTTGATGCACAATTGAGGGTGCTTTGCGAGCCCCCCATTTTTCTTCTCTTTTTTACAGTGGTCCTAGTCGGGATCCTACTCTTCATTTGTGTTGTCCCTTCTGGGCTAATGTTTTTCATTTTGGAGGTCGCCTGCTTCGGGATTCAGCTCAATTGTTCAGTTGCCTCTTAGGCTAATATTTTCATTGAAAGGCCTCTTGGGCTCATAATTATTGACATGTCTTTTGAGCTCATATATTTTTCAAAGTGCCTCTATGGGCTGATTTTCCTTTCTGAGGCGGACCTCTTGGGTTCCAGCTCGTTTTCTTTCATGTTCGAAGTACTTTGACTATATATATTTTTCTAAGGCAAATGGGTCGATCTTGTCGCGTAAGCCGAAGTCTCGACACTTGTAATCATTTTTCTTTTCATTTTGTGAGACTGAGCTAATGGCTCATGCATGGTCCTCCTTTACATTAGTCAAAGGGGATTTGCGCATTTATGGGGAGGCCCTTTTGGGGTCTTATCTTATCATTTTGTATATGAGGGTAGTTCTGCCGAAGTGATTTCTTCTTTACCTTTTTCTTTGAACAGACTTATTTTACAAGTACATTGTACGATTTTTTGAGGCTGCACATAAGGTGGGGCTATGCCCTCTTTCCCTATTCTGACCCTCATCTTTTTGCATCTATGAATGGGGTCAAAGCCTTTAGCCCAATAACGGCGGAAAGGTTAACCTTCGCCCTTTGAGCCAAAGATTCAGGAGATAATATAATTCTACGAGGTTTATGTCTGAGGTTTTTTGTCTTTGCTCCTTCAAACTTAGCGTCTCTTTTTCCACTAGGGCCATCTTCAAAATTTCCTCCCCCGAGCTGCCTTTCCAAGCAGGGATGGAGAAGACAGCAGATCGTACTTTTCTCGTCGCTGATCTACTAAGAGATCGAATCTTATTTCCTGATGTTATAGAGCCTGACTCGGCAATTATATGTCTTAGCGACTCTTTTCGCAAGAGGGCTCAGCTTGAGATGGCCAAAATTAGAGCTCATCATTGTAGGCTTAGCCTTTTATCTTCCTCACCGGGACAGTTCTTAAAACTTTTGTCTTCGGGTCACATCTTTTGAAAGGGATTGGGAAAGTAGCAGATCATTTTTCTGTGTGGTTTATGCCCTTGGTTTATTGGTTTGCTGCGAAGGTCGACTCATGTTTGCCTTAGAGCCTCTTTTTGCAAAAGGGCTTTGCTTAAAATGGCCGATTTTTGGAGGCGCATTTCTTGGGCTTATTTTTTTCTCCCGTGTAGTCATCCTTGGTTGGCTTGCCTTTCACACCTATCCCTTGGCGAGGAATGCATGTATCTATGGGCGAGTTCAGCTGTAAATTTCAGTTGAGGTTGTCCATGCTGACCTTTAACTAATGGAGGGTCAAACAGATGTTGCTAGCTCAAGGGGATAGAAGGGAGTCTGGCTTGAGCAGGCAAAATGTGGGGTCAGTCCTGCCTATTCCTTATAGGACCAAGTCTATCAAAGACACTTACCGACCTCCTTGGCGTGATTACGCTGCTATAGTTTGGCGAAACGACAATCTTCCTAGTTATTTGGTGAGTTGCGTAGTTGGCAACCATATCCACACCCACTTCTCTTTCCAGCGGAACAATCTCCTTGTTGTTTTATAAGTTGGCTAATTGACCTTGTATACAGCATTTTGCTGGGATATAGCCCTCATGTTTGCGATGACGATGGCCAACTCTCTGGTGAGCCTCGCTATTAGTATGGGCCTGCTCCTCGAGCCACCTCTTTGGTGGCGAACTACTGGAGTAGTTGGCAATGGCTCTTGGATTATTTGGACGCTTTGCGAGGATGCTTCCTCGACAAGGCGTTCTCTAGTCTTCCTAGATGCAATTTCTTTTTTATCGAACTCATGGCTGCACCTTCTCAACAGATTACCACTTTTAGCTCTCTTCTTGAGATTGCTTTTCTTTACTCAAGAGTTTAGCAAAGTTCCTTTTGAGTTGCCTCTTTCCCATATCATTCTTTTTCAAGAAACTTACCTTTTGTTCAAAGGCTTTTCTCCACCGGGTACTCATGGTTTAGCTATTCCAAGTTTCCTACAGACGACGTCAATCTGTTGACTTTCAGAAATGGCGAACAGGTGTCGTTAGAAGATAATGAACGCATCGACGTATTCTTGTAGTATATTGGTTGTAAATACATATATTTGTGGAAGAAGAGAAGAAACGAATAAGAGATCCAATGATTTGAAATGTATGGAGTAGTGTTTATTTTCCACTTCGAAATATGCCAAAAATTAATATATCGTTCATTATTCTTTTTTTCCCGGGTTTTCTCCCCTTCATCTCTTTCGATATATGTCTTGTTTTGATTGTTTCACACATATCTCCTTTTTTTCAATCTATTTTTTTTCCTTTCCAAGGGAAGGGTACATATAGATTTAGGGAAAGATGTGGTGGCCATTGGATCCAAACCACGTGCCCCTACCGCCTTTTTTACACATCACATTCTTCTTACACATACATTTATTAAATTGACAAATGGTCAACTGCCCCATATTTCTAGGCTGATATTCCTAACATAGGATAAAGTAAACGTTTAATCGGTCTTTCACAAAGATATACATTAGGTCGGCAGATGTGGCAGCCTTCTCGTCTCTTAGGACTTTAGCTTTGTTTTTCAAAACTTCCATGTCGGTGGATGTGATAGCCTCCTCATCTTTTAGGACTTCAGCCTTGTCTTTCAGAACTTCTAGATTGACAGATGTGGCAGCCTCCTCGTCTCTTAGGACTTCAGCTTTGTCTTTCAGAACTTCCAAGTTGACAAATGTGGCAACCTCCTCGTCTTTAAGACTTCAACCTACTCTTTTAGAACTTTGATATGTCGTGAGCATGAGGGCTTTGGCCTAAACCCTTTGTCAGGGCTTCAGCATGTATCTGGCTAAATGGCACCTTGGCCAAAACAAGAACTTCTGCTTCTATAGCCTTCATAACCTTGTTGTTTCGTCGTTTGATATGTTTGGGTTGACTCTTTCGATGAAATCAGTGAGGTTTCCACGTGTTGCTTCTTGTGGCTAACTTAATACGGGGAGTAACTAGGGATGAAAACGGGGGTGGGTTCAGGGCGAGGCAACTTTTTGCCCCATTTAATTTTTTAAAATTTTATTTTTTTTACATTTTCAAAGTTTCGAGTTTTGTTATTATTAGAGAATAAAATACAAATTCAAAATAGATTTTTAATGGGTGAATTGTATAGAAATAAAATTAATTTTTATTTTTTTCTTTCACGGGGCAGGTTTTTTTTTTGTCCCGTTCGGGACGAGGCGGGACGGGGTGATTTTTTTTCCATCACTAGGAGTAACAGAATTAAATGAATTATTTAATTTCATATTTCATTCAACATACCATCCAGCACCACGTAAATTGGGATTACAACATTGGTGAAGCTACGTAGCATTATTTTAGGGGAAGTTGTGGGACTTGAGTCATTCCTTGATCTATCTTGACACCACTAATTCACTATAAAAGAATTTCCAATCAAGAGCATCTTCAGAATCAAACTAATTTTTTTTTTAAGCTCGCTACTTTTTATTAAAAAGTTACTAATAAAAAAATATTTTTTACACAAAAAACATAGAAATTTGAAATGGGTCAGGACTGGATTGGACTAGACTAGGGTGGAGCGTAGCCCAATCACCTCTAAATTCGCCAATTTTTCAACAAATTCTCTAAATATGAAATATTTTGTAAAACTATTTTAGAGAATCTATGCAAAAAAAATAAATTCTAAGTCCCACTCTTTGTTATTACTTGTATTTAACAAATTACATATTTTAATACTTTATTTTTTCAAATTATTTAAACCTTATTTGAATTAATTGATCAATCACATTTTAAAAACATGTGTTAAATAAAAGATGATGGAGAAAACAACAAATATTTATTGAAATAAGTAAAATAAAGATTCAAAATAAAGAATATTGCTGGAATGTATATACAATTTTACTTTCTGAAAATTGAAGAAGCTTTCTACTATATGATGCTATTTACAAAAAGGACTCCTTGAATTTTAGAGCATTTCCAACAAATAAAGAGCATAATTTTTATTATAAAAAACATTTCGATGAAAATTATTAATAAGAATGAGACTTTTCTATAACTCCAATAATACTCTTTAAATTTAATCTTTTTTTTTGATATTCAGGTATTCCAACTTACACTAGACTAAATCCTGGACCTTCAAAACCCTTGCCCCTAGAATCTTGGAGGGGGTAAATCGCGTAATAAAAATTACTAACATAAATTATATAATAATAATTGGTTAAATAAATAAATTTGATAGTACATATTAATATGATGACTTCTACTTTTTTTAATTCAATTTTTATGTAAATATGCAGCTAAAGTTGCTTGCAAAACTTTACACTCAAACGGAATTAAATTTTATTCCTAACCTTTCTGTAATGCATATATCACATTTGGTATATTTTTATTTGTGTAAACAGTAATTATTTAAGATTTTGATGTTTGAAGTGTTATTTTAGAGAATCAGTTGGTGAAAGCTTTAATTAAATTTCGACCATCCTCGAAGCGCATTCGGTACCATTTAAATAATTTCTTCATCAACATCATAATATTTTGATTAGGATGGATCACCGGGTGTTCGACATCCTTCACATTTTAGAAAAAAATATACCTTGCATTGTTAAATAGAGGAAAAAATTATACTTTAGTAAAAATAACAAATCACTCCATGTATTTTACAACAATTAACACTTTAGGTACCTTATAAAAAAATTTAAAGCTATTTATTACTCTTGCATTTTTGTTTTCAGTCTTACACTGAATTATTCTTATTACAAATATAAATTGCATTCTCTTCTATGAGGCGTCAACAGATGTAAAAAAATAAAAATAAATTATGGATTCTTATAATTATAATTTCGAAAATGATAAGTTAGTTAAATGGCATGTATAATGTTACATTAATATAACGTACATGGTGTGACTTTTTAATTTAATAAGGAATATTTTTATCTCTTTAACTATTTGTGATGAAATATTTGGGAAGAGTGCAACAACGTTATCTAACATTTTCAATTTTTACATACTTTACTTTAACATTCAATTTGTGCCGACAAAGGTCCTCAACATTTCGTAAATATGCACATGAAGTCCAACTTGACGGAAACCAAATCGTTAGTTGACCTAGAAAATACAAGAATGAGATATTTTGACTACTTTAACTAAGGGTAGTTTCGTCCATACAAAAAATTTCACTTGTTTTGAAAATGACAATTAAACTAAAAAAAAATAAAAAAATATATTTACCCTCGAGCCCACACCCCATCGTCATCTTCCCCCAAACCAACCAATACTCTAAAATAGCCGTAGTCGCCGCTTATATCCCCGGACTACCACCAACTTCCTCCACCACCTATCTGGGTATGGTGCCCTTCTTAACAATGTTTTGCCACTTCTCATCTCCTTTACTCATCCCACATTAGCATTAAAAAAAAAAATCACCAATCTTTTTCTTCTATTTCTTAGAGACTATTTTCCTCCGCCGTCTTGCTAACATGCACCTCCTCAATCAAATTCTCTTCAATCACTGCTAGTTTTTGACCCTTGGTCCAAATCCCCTAGCCCATATCCTGCTTTTGATTGAAGTTTTGTTTTTTGCTCAAAGATAAGAACTTTTTGGTCTGCAACTTCTCTATCGCCTTGCTAAGGTACGTGGCCACCACATGCACAACAGATCTATTGATCAGCGACGTCCGATTAGCTAACTGACGGTTTTTCTTGGGTGATGGTCCTCAAAGAATGAAAGTGATTTCCAACCATTTTTCAGCTTCAACCTCCACTGCGGTAATGGATTTGGTTTTTGTTTTTGTTTTTTAACTTCGATCTCCATTTTTTAGCTTTGACTATTTTTCATGGGTGATGGTCCTCTAGGAGTGAAGGTTTTGGGTTTGATTTCTCAAATGCTGGTTTTGAATTTTCTTGGGAACCTGGGTAATGGATTTCTTGTGGTCAAGTTCTTAGTGAAAGTGATATTAGTGGTGGTGAAAAAGGGAGAAGTGGTAGCATTGGGCAATTACTAGCATCTTGTAGATGGAGGTGGCGATGATTGCCGAGTAATAGAGCCGTTGTTGTCGTGCGTCTGATTTTGGGATGGGATTGGATCGGATGGGTGAGACGACCTTTGATATTGGTTTTCATTATTTATATATTTATTTATTATCTAAAATATTAAATTACTATTTTAACCTTTTCAAATTGGTCAATTATTTGACTTTTGGTCAACTAACGGTTTTTGTTAATTTGGACCCTAACTGCATATTTAGGAACAGTTAAGAGACTTTTATTAGCACAAATTTAAGGTTAGGACAAATTCTACAAAAATTGAAAAGGTTAAGAGCCGCTACTGCAATTTTTCATATTTGTAATTTTTTTCCTATCTTTTTCATCAAAAAGTGTTTTTCGTTACCTCTAGTGAAATATAGGGTAATTGGCACAAAAACATCCCTCACCTTAATTCGCCTTTATTGTGGAATACACCCCCTATTCTTTTATTTTGGCGAAAAATCTCCCTATGTATATATACTAATTACAATAAATTTATTGAAAATGAAAATGGAAGATGAATTAACTTATACATCTACAATATTATAAATATAAGTGGAAATTTTTGTTTTTTAAATAAATTATAAAACTAATTCTTATGTCCGAGCTAAAGGTTAGGGGTATTTTGTGCAATCACCCTAAAATATAGTATAAAAATGTAAGTTTTAGAATCACGGTCGACAAATCGTAAATACAATCTATGCACAGTGTATTTTGTTAATTAGTGTATTATTTGCAGTCGTTCATTGCCATAATCGCCCAACGTGGTATACATATGACGATTAGTGATTTGATGCATTAATATGATAGTTTTTTATTACCTTATATATTAAATCATTAATCACCACATGTATGCAACGTAATGCTACTGTAATAGTGAGCGATTGCAAATAATATTATTTTCTCTCTCTATTAATGTATTTTAGGTATTAGATCTTTTTTCTTTGAACCAAGAATCTGTTTTGCTAATTAATTGACTATGGGTGGTAACAATATATTGGGTAATTATTACCACCATAAAATTTATTAATTGCACCACAGGTTCTAATTTTTCCTTATTTATTAAATAGCCTTAAGTAAAATTACATAATTAGGGTTAATATACTTTTATTTAATCATGCCACAAACCTAAACCTAATTTCTTCTTCTTCTTCTGCTAGTCTTGTTCCATGATACCACATGTAAGAATTCATCAATTTGTTTAATCATTATTTATAATTTTTTTTTCCAATTTGTTAGATCTTATAATTGCAAAATGCAACTCTTTACCGAAAACAACATGGAGAACATATACTCTCATTTTTTTAATCATTCTTTATAAAAAAAAATTTCCCAATTCATTATCTGTGAAGTGAATAGCAATATATATATAATCTTGACTAAAAGTTATAAATGATGCAGACCAAATGAAAAGTAAAGGAAAAAGCATTCCAGTGATATAATAATTAATAAGATTTCCAAGAAAATCAGAATAGTCAGATTATACTACATAGAATTAATTATGTTACTGAAATCTTCACTCATCAAAATGAATAAATATACAGATATAAAACCAGGTATATAATAATTTATAACGAAAAAGGTCAGTAGAAATTTAAATTTCATACTTAAAAGTTTATTCTCATCAAAAAATTACAAAATAAAAACCGCAAATATGCATCTCTCTCTGTGTGTATTGTAATTTGACCCGTCTTCTTTTTAAAACTTTCAAAACAGAACAGTGACCTCTCTAAAATTATAAATCAAGTTCACTAATAAAGAGAGTTAGATCCATTTCTTTGAAATCGAGTTTTCTTCTTTTTCTTCATCTTCCCCTTCTTTGAAAAAATAATTAATAAAATTAGTGTGAATGAGAAGAAAACCTTACCCTTCTTTCTTGATAATGTGAATGAGAAGAAATTGGTAAGGTTTTCTTCTTTTCTCTTATCTAGTTCATATAGCCATGGATGCATGCAACATAAAAAGTATACAATGAAAAGAAATGTCTAGAAGAAAAGAAAAAGATGAAGTTTAGACTGTTTAGTTATGGTGTATTTATTAAAACATAGAAATCATTTTTTTTTTTTTTTTTTTTTATAAATTAGGTATATAATTGTAAATTTGTTGTGGTGTATTTATTAAAACATAGAAATCATTTTTTTTTTTTTTTTTTTTATAAATTAGGTATATAATTGTAAATTTGTTGTGGTGTATTTATTAAAACTATATTTTAATTGTGGTGTGAACATAATGTGGTTCACTTAATAAATTTTATGGTGGTAATATAATTAATTACCCTAATATATTTTGGAGGAAATGCCAAAGAACAACAAGACCAACGTGCTAGAATATGAATTTTAACATTTGTTTCCCTTAGCATAGGGACTTGAGAGGCATTTTTTTATCTTACAACTGGCTCGAATCCACTGTTTCTACATCCTCATAGCATTTTCTATTTTTAGTTCATAGATTCAGACCATTTTTCGTTAATATTTTTGGAATTGTAATTCAAGATCCTATGTTTCAGGATTTCTCTCTTACAAAAGATAAAAACAACTCTCGTCAATTTCTATCTTCCAGTTCCAGTTCCTTAAGGTACGAAAGATCTCTCCATCTCCGTTCAATAACCTTTTGTTCTCAATTTGGATTTAATGTTTTGCCGCATTTATATCAAGACATTCTGTTCAGGATAACCGTGGTCATGATCTATTAGGATCCCAGTTCATGGATTTCTTGGTTCGAGAGATCTTGATACACTTTTTTTTTTGTTTCTGATCTTATTTCCCAGTTCATTAGAACTGTCTCCTTATTACTTAAGGCTCAAACATAAACTGATTTTTATCTTCAATTATGGTATTCATGCATAATTTAGTCATAATTGAATATGGCACGAGTTTCTTATTTTAAGAGGCCGGCATATTATTACACAATATTAGACAAAATTTTAATGTCCTTTTCATCGTCCAGTACTGTACAATTTATCCCACCAAACAAGCTATAATGGCCAATCGTGATGTTGAAGATCCGCTGCTAGCAGAACCTGTGGATTCTTCACGCCAATCTAATGGAAACAATTCTTTGAAGAGAAGAAAGTATCGTCGTTCTAGGAGTATCCCGACTGAGGATGTCTGTGCAGGGCAAACCAGTGTTGAATCACTTCAACACCCAGAGTCGATTTTTGGAAATAAGATCCATTTCAAGCAAGTACTTGCGTTACTGAGCGCATATTTAGGTGTAGGGGTCTTCTGTTTCTTCCTTGTTCGAGATCAGATCAAGGGGCAGAAGACGAATGTAATTCTTGATGCCGTTTATTTCTGTGTCGTTACAATGACAACCGTTGGATATGGGGACCTTGTTCCTGATAGCATCTTGTCAAAACTCCTTGCTTGCATCTTTGTGTTTATGGGAATGGCACTTGTTGGATTTCTACTAAGCAAAGCAGCAGATTACATAGTCGAAAAGCAGGAAACTCTTTTGGTTAAGGCCATTCATATGCGCGAAAAATATAGTGCCAATGACATTCTCAAGGAAGTTGAAACCAACAAAGTCGAGTACAAATTTCTTACGGCCCTCATTTTTATTATAATCCTCATCGTCATTGGATCATTATTCTTATACGGAGTAGAGGGATTGAATCTTTTCGATGCCTTCTATTGTGTTTGTGCTACTATCACGACGCTCGGGTATGGGGATAAGAGCTTCTCAACTTATGCAGGGCGTATATTTGCTTCTTTTTGGATACTTATAAGCACCATTTGTTTGGCTCAGTTCTTTTACTGTCTAGCGGAATTATATACTGAGAGACGACGAAGATCACTGGTTAAATGGGTACTTACAAGGAAGTTAACAATCTCAGATCTTGAGGCAGCAGATCTCGATAATGATAAAGTTGTTAGGTAACTTATTTTACATGTTATTGCTTAAAACTAATAGATTGTACATATATTTTGCATTACATTCGAGTGTTTCGAAATCTCTTGATGCAGTGCTGCAGAGTTTGTTGTGTTTAAACTCAAAGAGCTGGGGAAGATAAGCGAGGAAGATATCGATATGGTGATGGAGGGATTTAAATCTCTAGACGTTGATCAATCAGGAACACTTACGAAAGCTGATTTGGTTAACCCCGAATCACCGAATTCTTAGTGATGGTATGGCTCCTATGTTTTACCCCTAATTTCTACCTCGTAAAGTAAACCAAATGTTTCTATTTAGTTCTATGTATACATTTGAATCACTACGGAAAGAAATGAATCATCTAAAAGGTATGTCGGAATATATAGTCATGGAATTGATGAAAGAGGAAAAAGAAATTAAAACGCCGTCCGATTCAGATACATAAAAGTGTTTTTTTTTTTCTTTTTTGCTAGAAGAGCTTTTAAAAGAAATTGAAGTAAGATAATATTTTCAAGAAGTTCTTCTACAAAAAGCAGAGTCAACGTCCTTGCCAAACGACCCATAATATTATATCGACAATGCAATTATGTTATTCGAAGCCCCCCCAAAGTTTGGCACGAGAGTCGGACAAATGTTAGCCCCAAACACAGTCAAATTTCACCACTTTAATGCATTGGTTTGCCATTTCTTTCTGGCCCTGCTGTCATTTGAAGGTTCGCATTATGAAACCTAATTTAAAATTCCTTTCTTTTTTAAACACTAAGGTAGTGTTTGATTGGTTAATTTTTTCCATGAAAAATAAAATTTACCTTGCATTTTCCAACTTTTAGTTGTTTGATAGGGTTTAGTTTTCCATGGAATTTAGATTCTTGATTTTATTAGGAAGTGCAATTTTCTTGCTTTTGTGGGAAAATCAATTCTCACCAATATGGTGAGAATTGATTTTCCTCCCGGTTACTATACACGTTTTTTCTAATTATTATTTTATTTATTTATATATTATTATTATTATTATTAATTTTTTGCAATAGAAACAAATTTTAAAAATTATTGTAAAAAATTATTTTTCTTTAATTGATAATTTTCATGTAAAACAAAGCTAAACGAACACAAAAAGATAGATGATTTTCTTGAATTTTTTTTTTTTGACAATGGAAACAAATTTCATTCTCAATACCATTAAAATCTATCCCTTTAATCGATAATTTTCATGTAAAACAAAACAAAACGAACACCAAAAAATACTTTTATTTCAATATTTTTCACGTGGAAAATTATACTAATCAAACACAATAATTTACAATTCTCAAGAAAACAATTTTTAGGCAATTCAATTTCCTGAAATTCGTTTTCAATTCAATTCAATTCCATATTTACAATCAAACGGTAATTAAAATTTCTTCGAAAGATGCCTTTTAGTTACTTACATTTCTTGCAAATCCATCTCCTTTTTTTTTTTTTTTTTTTTTTGTTGGGTTCAGCCATCCTTTGGGTGCGCACTAGGTAAACTCTCGGGCTGACGCAATAGCCTGCAAATCACGCAAGTCAGGTAAACCGCACTAGGCAAGTCCTATGCGAGAAGCTCGATCGAGAAAGTGTTGGTAGAGCAAATCGAACTCGTGACCAAAGGCCTTCGCACTCATCTATTCTACTAACTCGATCACCCCATGAGGAGCCTTGCAAAATCCATCTTTATTCTACAAGGGGAGGTCTTTAGGCGTGCACGAAGTTTCGTGACCCTTCTAGCCTTTTTCCTAAAAGGTAAATTTTCTTCAATAAATGTGACAAACATTTTTAAGGGAATTAAACCAATGTTATTCTATAAAGTTTTCATCCCTAGCATATTTCTGGAAAATTCGAGAGAAAACATATGTTTGATTGTTATATTTTCTGCCAAAATAAATATAAAAATCTTGTTGGAGTCTAATTAGTATTATTGTCAAATTTTGAGAATGTACTTCAACGTTACTCGATTTTTTCCTCTTTCGTGTCCATCTAAATGAAGAATTATGAACAAAACAAGATTGCAATTTGCAAATGCCAATAATTGCACAAGACTCTTATCATAGCCTCTCGTCTGGCCACCGACGCACTATGGTAATTGACTAATTATTCCGCTTGCCCACCATCAAGGAAATGCCACATATACCCCCAAAATCGTTTGTAAATCACATTTTAAATCCCAGTCATCATAAATTACGCGTCAACTTGTAAAAATGTTAGGAAAACGGGTTTTTTTAACCAATATAAATAACATCACTTTGATTAACACCCAGTTTGATAGTGATTTTGATAATTGATTTTTTGACAATTAGGAAAAAATGGGGGATCATAATCATCACTTTGATTAACGGCCCGTTTGATAGTAATTTTGATAATTGATTTTTTGACAATTAGAAGAAAAATGGGGGCAATATGTGAGTGAAAAGTCAAAAATGATGGCTAAAATAATGAAATAATAATCCCTTTACTCGAGTAATAAAGGTGAAAAAGTACTACCAAACGGGACCTAAACAAAGATGCATTTGCTACCTTTACTAGAAGGTTTTTGGTCCCTTTCTTTCTCGTCTCTTAGCCCTTGTTTGATTCTTCATTTTTTCAAAACTCATTTTTAATCACACGTTTTTCAATAAAATAATATTATACGCAAATTTAAAACTTTTCTTTAATTTTTAACCACACATTTTTCATTAATCTACTATTTAAAATGCATTATTTCTCCCAACATGAGGATAAAACAAGGGCTTAATTGGTAATATGAAATAATTGGCAAAAGAAAAAATGAAAAGATAAACAACAAAAATTGGAAATGCAATTATGCAAATGAGTAGTAGAAGACTTTATTAATAACAACTTATATTATAACCAAATATTAATAAATAAACATGTGGCCACCGACGAAATATGGTAATTAACTAAAATTATTCCTTTTCCCCCACTCACATGACTATCATTTTAACAATATTTAAATTTTTGAAATATAACCCAAGATCCATTGAAAATCTTGAACAGAACAGAAAGACCCCAATTATCATGAAAATTATGTAACTTATTTACATAATTGTACACCCTGTAGAGTTCTCTTCACTGAAGTAATCGCACCTTGAAACATAGCAAGGCCTGCCGTATACATATCCAGGTCCATAGTTGCCGTCGTAAGACACCTGTGAGGGCGGCGGCGGAAATCCATAACCATGGTAGCATGGCCCGCCGCCGCGACCTTCGTAGCATGGCCCACAACAAGGATTGACTGGATAAACCAGTGGCAATCCCACTCCAGGTGGTGGAACTGGTGCAGGGTTCTTCGGTGGTTGAGGATTAGGAGCATCTTTGGGCTTCTCCGCCGCCGCCGGTGGTGGTGCATTTCCCTTGCCGTTTGATTTGGGTTTGGCAGCAGCTTCTGGTTTCGGCTCGAGTTTCTCGGCCCCCTTCGGCTTCTGTTCTGCCGGCTTCGTCTTATCATCCTTCCGCTTGTCATCCTTCGGCTTATCATCCTTCGGCTTGGGAGCCGCCTCCTTTTTGATTTCAATGCTCTTAATAATCTTGCCACCCTTGCAGATCAATTTGTCTCGAATTTTCTCAGGGCTGCAGCATATTACAGTGATTGTCACTGTATTTTCCTTCTCATTAAAAGTCCTGTCGCTAATTTCTGTTGTCCCAAATTTTTCACAACACCAAATATAAACAAAAATAAAAAAATAATGTATGTCATAATCCAAAATATTGCTTATTGCTCAAAAGCAGCTTCTCTTGAAAGAATGATAAAAAAGGAAGGCTTACGAGGAATCTTGCAGAGAATTTTCTGGATCTTCTTGTAGCAGCAGGGACATTTGAGATCAACGTTCAGCACCATTACAGTTTTCTATTACATCAAATGAAAATGAAGGTCAAAACATAGGCAGAATCAAATAAAAGTGAGTGAAAATTACTGGGTTGTGATCAAAATTGATACCTTCTCAGCCATGGTTGATAGTGAGGAGTGATGGATCTAGAATTCAGAGAAAAACAGAGTAAATTGATTTTGACAAGAAGTTTGAGAGTGAGAGAGAGAGAGAGGAAAATGTATAATTCTATAATCAACAATATGAACTTTGGAGTGGGAGCTTTGTCATGTTGAATTTCATGAAAATCATCAAGATTGTACTGTCTATGGGGTGGGGTAGGAGTGCGTAGGGGTACATTGCTGACTCTTTACTCTGTTTGCATGTGCTGTTATTGATAGGCACAACTAACCTTCCCAAGTTTTGATAGTGTTTTCATACACAATCAAATGGATTTGGATTTCAAATTAACCCTTCGGTCGTACGATTATGAGCCATGCACCCCCACATGCCCAACAACATATATAGACGCGTTAAATGACTAATAATATAGGCGTGAATCTTCATACGATCGTTCACAAATTTTATTTTCCGAGCTAAGTTTGGTTTCAATTTTATTATTATTATTATTATTATTATTATTATTATTATTATTATTTTAACAAAATCGCCTCTGGAAAAAGTAAAAAGGTGAAAAGTTTAACTAATGATTTTATTGAAATCGAATAATTTTACTCGAGAACCGATTGATTTTGAGGTTGAACGAGTAAGTTCTTAGGTTAGTTGAACAGTTTCTAATTTCTCAATTATTTATTCATGATTGGATTGGTTATTAAATTGATTTGTGCTTTTTGTTTGATTTTGTCGACTAATCTAATCAAGTTGTAATATCATAAATCGGTATAATTTGTGGGGAAAATTACAGCTGCGGTCTCTAACATTTTCACTTTTCACAGACTTTACCTCAAATTTCACTTTGTCATCCACGGATCCAAACCTTTCAAATATTCTCATCGCAAGGATAAAATGACAGAAACCGTTAGTCAATTTGTTGACTACGCAAAATGGACCCTCCACGTGGTCAACCGATAGTCACTTCACGTAATCCTCACTGCACACAATAACGAATGGTCGAAGCACAATAACAAATTTGATTTTCCGAGCTAAGTTTGGTTTCAAGTATTTTTCGACAAATTCACCTCTCGAAAAAGTAAAAAGATCAAAAGTTCAACTAATGAGTCTATCAAAAATCAAATAATTTTACTTGAGAACCGATTGGTTTTGAGGTTGAACGAGTAAGTTCTTAGGTTAGTTTAACGGTTTCTAATTTTTCAATTATTTATTCATGATTAGATTGGTTATCGAATAGATTTGTACTTTGAAAAATTCTACTTGTACATAATTATTGCACATAATGGTGTCCATAATGTGATATGATAATCATCCGATTATTGATGTGCAAGTGTGAGATTTGAATTAAAGGTTAGATTCAGTGCCATGTGTATTTATGAACACCATTATGTAGATAATTATGTACATGTAGCACTTCCCTTGTGCTTTTTGTTTGGTTTAGTCGGCTAATCTAATCATGTTGTAATAACATAAATCGGTATAATTTGTGGGGAAAATTGCAGCTGCGGTCCCTAATATTTTCACTTTTTACAGGTTTTATCTTAACTTTCATTTTATATCATTTACGGTTTCAAACCTTTCAAATATTCTCACTGTGAGGACAAAATAACAGAGACCGTTGATCTGACCCAATTTTGACTAATTTTTAGATGGCAAAAGGGTAACTTTAGATTTCTTGTATTAAAGAATTAAAATATATTAAATAAAAAAACAAAAAAGAAAATAATTTGGAAAGTTATTTTTCTTCTTCCACTTTTTCCCACTCCAATCCCACACGCTACCATGCCATCACAGAAACCAAAACCACATGTGTAGCCATTATTGTAGATCCAGGCCCTTCGACGCCGACGACCGCCATGCATCGATGATCATCAACCCACCACAACCAAATCATCTCACGAATCCACATAAAGTACAACTCCACCATTTATTCTTCTCATTTCGGATCAAACCCAGGCTCAAACCACAAGGCCAGTCGGAATTTCCCCCATGGACGGCTTTAAAAATGGAAATGGAAATGGAAATGGAAATGGACATCTTTAAGGACAGGTGGGGTGGGGAAGGTACAGGAATCATTGGTGCCATGAAATTGGGGCTGAAATCTAGGCCCCAAAAAATTATGGAGCAGTGCAGTAGCGATTGCATGTGATTTTGGGTTTTGGTTTGGTTGGTTGGGTGGGCGGGGTATCGGTATAGATTTAGTGGCGAATCTAGGATTTTAAGTCAGCACGGATGGTCGTTGATTGTCGACTGTCAACCGCAATAAAGTATTAAGAGCCCGTTTAACGTGTTTTTTTAACAAAAAATACATTTTGAAATAATGATTTTATGGAGAACGTGATGTCAAAAATAAGAAAAAAGTTTTCAATTTGCGTGTAATATTATTTTATTCGAAAAATTTATGGCTAAAAATAAGATAGATAAAAATATATTTTGAAAATAAAATGAAAATAAAACAAGGCTTAAAAAAATTTAAATATAACAATTATTTTGTACATACTGAACATATATAATTGTGTTATAAGAATAATTATATATTTACCAAATAACATTGTTGTCAAGTATTATATAATTTAAAGGAAGAGCATGATTTTGAATCTTTATAATTATATTAAACATAGTAAATGTAATATATATTATGTTGTTGAATTAAGTACCAAAAAAATAGGTGTCACAGTGGTCAGACTTTCAATGATTATAGTAGAGGTTCAAGGTTCAAATCTCATCCAACTCCTTCCTATTGCATTAATTTTGGTAGTTGTTGTAAACTAAAAAAAATTGCACAATGAAATGGGTGTGAAGAGAATCGAAACCGAGACCTTCATAATGTGAAGAAATATCCAATCACTTCAGCTACAGGGAGAATTTGGAAGAAAAAAGAATTGTTAGTAATATAACCTAAAATCTTAATCTACTTTCAACAAAAAAATATGGCTTCCGACGGATCCAACTATGGAGATCGTCCTAGCTCGCCACTAGCTAGATCCGCCACTGTATGGATTGTTTGTAGTGGTGATGGTGGCGGTTCAATGGTTTGGGTGTGTTGGGTGTAGGTCGTCGGTACGGGTGGTGTGAGTGGACTTTGGTGTGGGGTAGGAAGAAGAAGAAGTCTCAATCTCCCAATTATTTTCTTTTTTATTTCTAGTTTTTTTATTTAACATATTTTAATTCTTTAATATATATGAGAAATCTAAAGTTACATTGTGCTCTTTAAAAATTAATCAAAATTGGGTGAGATGTTGACTTTGGTCAACTAACGGATTGATTAATAGTTTCTGTCATTTTGTTCTTACAATGAGAATATTTGAAAGGTTTGATATCGTAATTGACACAAAGTAAAGGTTGAAGTACAGTTTGCAAATAACGAAAAGGATTGGGACTACACCTACAATTTTCCCTAATTTGTGTTGTCAGATTGATTGATTGAGTGATTGACATAACTATTTTCATTATTAATTAATATATGTTGGCATATTTAAAAAATATTAAAAGAAATTGTGATTCATGAATTATGATTAAGTGCAGCCAAAACGGAATGGTCAAATGTAAGGGAAAAACACCGCTTTCGCTTTTACAAAAATTGCCACGACAAATAATTATTGGACCTAGCACATGGTCCCTTTGTCACCCATAAAATTGAACACGTAAGAAATAGATAGCCTCGGAATCCGAGGACAAAATAAATTTTATACAATATTAAGGTTCCGTTTAATTATTATTTTTATCAAAATATATTTTTCTTTCTTCTTTTTAATTAAAATTTTTTTATTAAAATAATATTACACTTAACTCAAAAACTTTTCATTATTTTTCATCAACGTATTCTCCATCAATCTATTATTCTAAGGCCCTGTTTGTTTTCCATTTTCATAAGAGTGAGAATGAGAATGAAAAATATAGTCGTTATGGACCCCACACAAGAGATAAAAATTCAAATTTGATGGTTTAATGTGATGGATAATTGTCATATTTTTTATTTTAATGAGAAAAGAATGGAAAACAAACTGATGCTATAATTCATTTTTTTTTCATAAAAATGAGTGTCAAACAAACACCTTCTAAAATTTAAGTGGAATACTAACAAAAATTTTAGAAGCAATAATTCATTTGCCAAACTTTTTTATAAGCTCTACCAAAATTTAATTCTTCTAGTGTGTCAAAATAATTTGAACTTGTTTGTATACTTTTGTTTCTACTACACTTCTACATTGTTCAGAAAAAATGAATTCTTCTCATTCGATAGAAACTTGACTTTAGGTAAAATTATTAGAAGCTGATAATGACTTTCGTTACCAGCACATGTAGAAGTTGTCATTATTTATTCATTTATTTTAAGAATGTCATGTATTTTTCTTTTTTCTTTTTGCTTTTATTAACAGAATCTACAAAATAAAGATTATATAAATGTGTTATTTCTATTTTAGTGCTGTTTACGTCAATTTTCCTTTATAATAATGGACCTGCCCATACTTCTAACTGCCCAAATTGAGAAATGCTTATTTTTCTAGACAATTTTAAAATGTACCTAATCCCTTCGTATTAGTGTCGATAGGTTTATGAGAATATTCATGCATGCCCTACATGATTGTTTGGGGGGGGGGGGGGATCCTTAATTCCAAGAAATTTCATAAAAATATTGACATTTCTCAATATACACATTACCAATATTTTAAAATCGACCCGAATATTATCTTGAAAAATGTAAAAAGATTAAATCGAGAGTGTTGAATTGATTGAGAATCGGTTCATGTTGTTCAGGTTTATGTGTGAACTTCTTTATATTTGTATTAATTTTTGAAGTCATGGGAACACAAGTTTCTTAGTCCTATTTCGCACGGTTTAGTCGCTAACAATTAAAAAGGGATCAGACGATTGTGTAAGGAACAAGCCTCTTGAGACAAAATCCCAAAAAGGGGTGTTTTTATTGGCGATGACTTTACAATTGAGAAATAAAAACAGAATGCCTCCAAGGGGCGCAAGCACAAGAGTTACTGAAAAAGAAGTGTTTAAATCTAAACTAAGAAATTGAAAGTTACATATTCTCTGTTTGAGAGTGTTTGATTTGGGGTCGTTTGCTCTATATCTTTTCTTCCTTTTATACTCCCCGGATGATTTCTTCGTGATCAACCGCTTAAAAACTACTTGATCGTTCTATAACTGCCCACTTTCCTTGTAGTGGCCAACTTGTCATGGAACTGCCTTCTCTAACTACTGCCATTACTTTTGTCGTTCAACCGTCTTCAATTGAATTCCTTGAATCGTGGAACGTGATAGGACTACATAATAACTATTTCATTAAC